CCCAGCAACAGCCATGCAAGAAGGTAGATTGCATCTGATGAGAAGGCTGGGCTGAGTGGAATACCCAAAAGAATTCCATAGCCCAAAAGCTTCTTGGCCAAATGCATCATGGATTCACACTGACAGTCGAAGCGGTGTGCTTGCCAGTCTTGCGGTACACCGCCTCGATTACTCGTCCATCGAGGAAGACATTGGGATGTCCAACTGGCAGCTGCTCTAAGTATGTAAGTAATATGCTCTCAACAAAGGCAACAACATTGAAGCCTGGCCATGCCCCGCTCCTTGGATGCTCTTTGTGAGCGGTATACTCCTTTGATATAGACTAATTATGATAAAATTACAGAAAGGGACGCTCTGGAGGCCTCATCTTTTCACGCTGGAAGCGAAAACCACTAACTTTCATATGTTGTTATACATTGATATATACTGATATACTGTCATTGCCGTTTCAATGTTCCGCAGAACCGAACCGAGGCGACAAACCGAGACCGAACTGAACCTCTTGCCCACCCATCGACTTCTGCCCACCTCTCTGGTAGCGCTCCAGCAACTCCCCAAAGACCTCGCTCTGTAGCAACGAGGCAGCCGCAGACGTCCCGCTGATCGCACATACTGTGGCTAAGAAGGCCATCGCTGGAGCAGCACGGGCACCCTTCCTGGGCAGGAACGTGAGTTCCCTGGCGCGGGCAGTTTGCTTGGAAGGACCCCCATGTGATTCTGGGAAGTTCGCTTGGATTTGCTTCAATCTTGATTGTCCACGAGGGTGCCTAAGCGAACTTACTTGAAGCAAAGTTCTCCCTTCCAGGATACTTAGTAAGTTCTTGATGTTCAAGGAAAACACACAACTTAATTACTTATAAGTATCCTTGACATCCTTGAATATGTTATTAGTTTATTAGGACCTATAGGATTCGACAGCAACAATCCAAGGTATCCTTGGGCCCGATCAGTCTGATGGCCACCAGACATGCGTTGAAACATGGTGAACGACCCAGGTCGTACCCTTGGCACCTGGTCGTACCCGGCCTCCAGGTCTGAATTCAGTGCTACCAGTGTGTCGGGTCGATCGCCGGTTTTGAGTCAAGCCCAGGAGTCCACCCCACCTGCCCCCCCAAAAAACCTCCAAGGCAAAAACGCAAGTTGTTCTTGCATCATGTCTGTCAAATCCCCAAAACGTTTTTGGGAAAAACCTCTCTACAAACCACTCTGGTTGGTGAGCCACCAGTCTGGTTCGGATGTAATCCAATACATAGCTTTGATTCCAAGTCTCGGACCCAAAAGGGCAGCAATGCCCACATGAGGGTGCACAAATGCGTAGATGCAAACACACAAGGTTGTCAAGGCCCAAAGCCAGCCGACGTAACCAAACAAAACGTGCTGGTACCACCTCCTGCCAAAACACAACGCTTGAGAAATGATCCAAAGTGCGATAATACATCTTGAAAGACCAACGGTTCTATTGCGGAACTGTTGTGCTTCGACCCATTCAGGCAAAAGGATGTTTGTTCTAGCACCCAGGGCCCAAGTAGCGTCCCCCCCTCCATGGAACTTCTGGGAAATTGTGACCGCACGTGTGGGCAGTGTGAGTTGAGGTCTCTGGGGATGTGAAGACCACTTTCACTTTACGAGAGATTCCCTGGTGCCCTGAAATGCGTCCAGGTATATCAAGGACTGTGAAGGATCTATGTTCAGACTCCCAGGGATTCTGTCAAAGCAAAAGCAGACTAGGGATGACTAGGGTATATGTCTAGTACGAATGGTGATCATAGGGGGGGTGTTAAGATCCTCAAGCATTGCCATCATCTCTCAAATGCATGCTGGGTCCTGTCTCAGGTTCATTCTCACGTGGATTTGGCACTAAACTATGGCTGGAATGACGCATGACATGCCCCACCATTCACCAAGCCCAACAAATGTGCTTCACAGTGTGTCAGTGGCTTGGGCTTCTTCACATCAACCATCTAACTAAAAGGAAAATGTTTTCTTCCCGGCGACGTGTGTGAAAAGAGCCGAGAACACTGGGGTCCCAGCTTTCAGTGAAAAAAAAAAAGCATCACCCGTTTCACCACTTCCCCATCAGCCAAGGTGTGGGTCCAAGGACCGTGGGTCCAGACGAGCGCAGCAGTGCAGCGAGATCGCTCTCCCCCCCAATTCTCCTAGTCTTGGGCCCCAAGAGCTCTTTCCTTGGAGAGGACAATGGCGCGGAGATCGTGTTTGAACAAATCACCACAGTCAGCTTGTAGGGAGCCCTTTCACTGACGATGCTGGGTGATACCAGTTGATTGCCACACCAGTTGCATCAGTGGAGGAGTTCGAGAGTTTCATGTCAAACCAGTATAGCAGTATATCCGTAACCAGTTAAAATACTAAATGTCCATGTCTATCGCTGGCTACTAAACAAGCCCTCGTCAGTGGTGAGCTGGCGGGGTTCCCACAAAGAGAGGTGTGTCTTCACCATCGTACCGCACAAAAATGACCATAGAGGATTCCAGGAGCCTTATGGAATTCTTTGTACAAGAACATGAACGTATGATCATCGTCAGGAAATTTTGGTCCTTTGTGAAACTTTGTTCCTTCGAGGTGCCACACACCCTGGGACCAAACACTCCCCGTGCAGCAAAAACACACCGTAGGAGCTACTGACAGCATCCCCCAACCTTTTTCATTTGGTTGATGATACCCAAACAAATCGGAAACGAGATACATGATAGAGTGGTCCTCATAGAGACAGAAATGGTTCTAACATGTATTTAAATACATGCATGTTGGAAGAGAGTCACTGTTTCAGGTTCCATCTATTTTGGGAGCTCATGAACTTCTGACATGTTTGGTTCCCCCAATCAAATGAGCTTCTTGCAATCCAGCTAGCCTCGGGGGACCCAACCAATTGACGCTGAAACAGGACAGGCTTGAGTGGGAAGAAGCCAACTGTCCATGTTGGTCAGATTCAATCAATGGATCAATCCAAACGCTGCTTGCATCCATGCTTCTGCTCCAGCTCTTGCCACACGCTCTCTGAAACACTGTCTTCTGACCAGGTGAGTTCCCTTGCTGTAGCCAGTGAGTCATACGCCATGCGTTCTGAGATGCGTTCCAAATGGTATGTCTAAGAGTCCCATGGCCGAGACCAAATTTTGGAGATGTGGACCAAACAAGCCGAGCTGATTGCGTTTGTGTGGACCACCAGGAAAGTGCGTCATGACTGGAACGTGAAACGTGGCTTAGTGACTAGTGGGTGGGTAGAACGAAACGGAACTTACAGTAAGAAAAGCACATATTGAGTTTTAATATGTTTGAATGTCATTTCACCATGATACCATCGAGAGGTCCCAATGGGACCTCACTTGCACCCAAATCACCAGATTCGGATACTGATCTAACTGAGTACGTATCTCTCAGACTTCATGGTGACACAAGAACCGTAACTGTAACCTCCACTGATCGCTGGCTTCTTTAGCTCGTTAGGAAGCAGCTGAACCCAGCATCGGCTCCTTCAGGATCTCAATAAATCACACCATTCACAGCTGACTGGATCGAGCCCAGCTGGCTGCGCGCGGAGTTCTTGAACAACCCACAGAGCACCGGCAGTTGGGCACCCTCGCAGTCGAAACGATCAAAGTACCTAGGATGAACTACTGTAGTTTGATCGATTTCAATGGGCTTTGAGATGCTTTGAGCATAACTGATACAACTCTCATCGATTTGTCCAAAAAGAATGAACCATTGGGCCCGCTGTATGGGACCGCTCACCGCTCACAACGCACTCGGAAACAGGGCCGGCGACGCAACAGGTGTCCAACTCGGTCCGGATCTGAGTCCCATGGGCGAAAAACACCAAACCTGCTCCTCTTGAAGACTGATAAAAATGATAAAAGAAGTACTCCCAACAAAACAGCACTACAGCGCCATACACGCACAGAAAATCAAACATGACGGCGAGTGGATAGAGGGAACCCCAAAATCAAACCAAGGAGTGGATATGCAGCTAAAGTTAAAGCGACAATACGTCCACCATCTTACACTCTTCCAGACTCTACACCCATATCTTCGATGCCAAGAGACTTTGTGCGGCATCGCTACCAGCTACATGGATCGCCAAAAATGTGTTTCTCGGGTTCAGCACAAGAAGACGTACATGTGGCTAGTCACCCAGTGGAATTCGCTTGATGTGGCATGCTGCCGCATGCCCTATTCCAAGCACTTCCTGTTTGAATTCCAAGCACTTCCGCCCCAGCGGAAGAAACCGACCCACAAGACTCGACCTGCTCAGCTCCCACCTGCTCATCCGCTCAGCATCGGTGAAGATCGGAACGGACCAGGAGGCGGTCTGGAGCCGACTGATGGGAACACGCTCCCATGTGATGGATGATGAAAGGTGGTCAGAGCACGACATGCCTCAAAGGAGATTCTGATCTCTTGATATGTCTTGATTATAAGAGTTCAACCTAAGTGTGTAGATGAAGCCATGCCTTAGCCAATGGCTGCTCGCCGGGCGCATTGGGCTGGGCCGGCTGGGCCTCCGTTCGCTGGGTAGACCGGCGTTCCTCGAGACCGGGGACTTTGGGAGTATTCGGGAGGTCACGAAATCCCGGTCCCAAGCCGCCATCTTGCCAACATCTGAATACCATTGGGGGCAGAACATCTTGCGAAACGTATAGTGGAGGACTTGGCAAAGAATTGGGTGAGGCGGGGCCACTCCATCGAGATCAAACACCATCTGCTAAGGCCATGGAAAAACCACGATGGCGGACCATATAGCATCCCGTCAAGAGGTACGTATATAATACTGAAAGGACGACCTTTGATAGCCCAAACAGCTGTGTTGGCACCGTCTATAGTTGGCTTGCTCTTCCCGTCTGGAGGGTCATTTTGAAGGGAATCTCAAAGCCCAGGCGCCACCAAGATCACAAAGAAGCCAAAAGCCCAGGCAAACTGCCTTTCGAAGCACCCCATGCGCCACTCGAGGGCCCAAAAGAGAGAGAGAGAGAGAGCAGCCCCTCCTATAGCAGCTTTAGAAGGCAACAGCACCACTTCTTCCAACACCGCGCCTTGGCTTCCGCCTTCGTCTTGCTCCGCATCTTCGGCTTGGGGTCCGCTTGCACGGCCGCCGCCGTAACCGCCGCGGCCGCTTCGAGCTGTTCCACACGCGCCTTGGCTATGCGGCCACCGGCACCCGCCTCGCGCACCACGAAGCCTCCAGGGGGGTCGCGGAAGAGGCCGCGGGGGGGGTCTAAGAGCCTAAGAGCTGATGGTCTGGAGTCTGGGGGCCCCTGAATTCACCAGGAATCTATGGAACATCATGATCAAAGAATGCTTTCGAGACATGAGTGAAGCAAGCTCACAAAGGTCACCAGTAGCAATGACTTGCTCATTGACTCCGACTCTTTCAGACTCCTTAAGACTCCTGTAATTGCTACCATGTTCTTCTTCCCAGCCAACCACCATGTTCGTTGTTTGTGCTCATCAACTCCAAACAAACAAAACAGCGTCTCACCGGGACCGACTTGGTGCCTTCGAGCATGGCAGGTGCCGTGGCATAGTGCCGCTTGGAAGCCTTCTCAAGGTCAGCCCAAAGCTCCTGACGTGCTGGGATGTTCCCCCACATCAGAATGGGATGAACATGAACCCCATGGGCGCCAATTGAGGGACACTTGTCTGTGAGACACTGCACTGAAGGACACTCTCGCACTCACACCCCACTTCACCAAGCGGTGAACACTTGCTTCGCCACAACAAAGACAACAAATTGGGTATCCACTGAGTGCCAAGAGTGAAGCCGGAGGTCAAAAGCGCTGCTATTACTTCAAGCTACTTCTTTGGAACAATGTTGTTTCCACGAAAGCTAATAGCTGTTATGGTCATTGTCCGGAATCAATGGTATCCGAGGTACCAACGAGATGGCTTTGGAATCTGTGAACAGATGTGAAGAGTACGTATATATATATATATATTAATATATATAACATAACATGTGTAATTGAACATGATTGCATGCGCAAAAGAACTAATATACTAGGTACTTATGAGATAGGACTTGTGGCCAAAAGTGAGATGGGAGTTTGGCCAGGAACTCCTATCTCATGTACGTTCAGGATGCAGCACTCACCAAAGGAACATGATGAGATAGAACTTTGTGATTTTGACAATCGTTTTACAACTCCTATCTCATTTTTTCCTAGTATACAGTATATACATGTGATTAGATTCTAATCTCGATCACCACCAGTCCAACAACCCATCAATGCTCCCACCCCTGCCTCCAGCGCCACCTTCTACACCCATACTACACCTGCCACTATCCACTCCCCTACAACTATATAGCTACAACAATAGCTACAACTGCATAGTAGGACATCCGTAGGAGAAAACGTCGAACACACATGTCCGCTCCCTTGAGCACACGTCCGCTCGTCCTCCGCAGTGAGCTTCTTCCGATACTCCTCAGCGGGTGCGGAAGTGGGTGCGCTGTCGCGCTGTTTTCGGTGGGTGCGGCTGCTGGTGGACCACGAGAGGTTTGGATCCTGCAGCCCTGAGGATCGATGATAAGATGTGTATTTTCATAGGGACCTCCCAGGCAAGAACGACCCCTGGATGGTTCGGAAAACAGACCTGTCTACCAGTCTTTATAGCCATTGGGCCAGGGTGTGCCCCAATTCAAATACACCCACATAGACTCTGAGAGAATGATTGAGCACGACCAAGTAACACCTTTCTAGCAAGCAGGGGCCAGCGCTGGAGTCGTCTTACCCAGCTGTGGCGTCTCATGTCAGGTCGCGTGGTCTAAAGTCTAAAGGAAATTAATCTTCTCTCTGTTTCTGCTGTTTCACTCAATTCTGCCCCTCCCCCCTGTGAAAAACGTTTTGAAAGTGAAAAGCTGGTTCATTGTTAATTATACATGATGGTTGACAAGTCGCTGTTCCGCTCGCTCCGCCTTTGTTCCAACCCCGCACGGAGCCGGACTTCACCCGAGCCACCCGACGTGCGCTGCGCGGACTTGGCGGCTCCGGTGGGTTTTGCGCGGTGGTTCAGAGCGCCTTCTGTTGAGAATGGTCGAGCAACTATAAAAACGGCATTATCCCCAAATACCTGAACCGGACTTCTTAGAACTAGAAACAGCAAAACATTCGAGAGTAGAATGCCGATGTCGGCATACTCCCAAATGTTCGCCTCTTGCGCTTCACAGAGCCATTGGTCAATGACCACGTTCCTCTTGAACACAAGAATGAAGCCCACACACCCGCGGACTTGCTACCGATCTTTCGCGCTTGGTCAAGAGTCGTAAGCCACCAGCGGCAAATCAAACCGCTTCGCTAGCTCGATGGTCTCGTCGAAAGGCAAAAACCTCAAGGAGAAATGCGGAGCAGAAGTGTGGAAACAAACTTGTTGTTCTTTGGTGTTGGTGTGTTTTTTCTGTTGTGGAATCCACAGGCAGTGTCTTTGAAGATGCGCGAGGATTGACATGAACAGAAGGCTGGAAGGAAGCCTTTCTGTCTGTATCTGACTGGTGACTGGTGTTAAACAAACAGCATTGTGTATATATATATGATGTTTATAGAGTTTTATTGATATTACCTTATATTATATATAGAGATATCTTTTCTGGTAGCACAACGTTCAAACGAAGTTTAATAGCAAGACAACCAGCAATTTGTGTGCCGATTGTTGTGACTTGTGCCTTGTGTTTGGTCACTTCTGCTTCATTTTTGGTGTCATGTGTTTGGTCGTGCAACAACAACAAAAACATAAACATCTTTTCAGGGTCCGTATTATACACCTGAACGCGTTTTTGTGGGTGAACCCCGCAAATTACTCCACTTGAACAAAAGTGTCTCTGGAGGGTCCGGGTACAGGTACATTCTGCCGATTACATTGAGCAGCTTGGCCCCTGAGCAGGACCCCCCAACAAAGTCTGAGAGCATGGTCACCGGCCCAGGACGGGAGACAGTCTCGGAAGACAATGGTTGTCTACTGAAGTATGTCAGGCAGATGTCCCGTTGTTGGCTGGCTAGTTGGAGAATGTGTTTCCTTTGTATGTGATTTCCTTGCGTTGCTTGATGTTGCTTCTTTGCTCTGGCTGATGGGTTTTCCGTGGAATGTGGACCTTCACTTCATGGTCAGTTTCCGCTTGTGTAGTACTTCTACCGGAGGAAGTACTTCTACTGGAGAAAAAACACCAGGACGAGGACCGAGGACTACTGCTTTGTTGCAGCATCTTATGAAGCATCCTCTTAGGGTCTTAGGGCTTAGAATCAACCTGACCAAAACCAGGACCGACCGAGAAACCTCGGGCGTCTGCGATTCGGCGCCTTCCCACGCCATGCGAGCCCGAGCGCGAAAAGTCGAAGACCTGCCGAACCGCAGAACGGGAGCTGAGATGGGTGAGATCAGTGGGCAAAACATGCAAACAATTGGCACCTCGTGCTTCCTTCTGGGCTCCTTAACATTCCAACGACCTCAGAAGCACCTTGTTCCCGACAAGGAAACCTTGTTTTTTGTTAAATCTTCAAGTTGATTCTTACGGCAATAATAAAATATAAAGAAAGGTTCGTTACGTTACTATGTTTATTTCTAAAGGTTTAAAACGATAGCAAGATAATACTAACGTAAAACATAGAAACACATCATACCATTTCTGCTAGATGAACGGCACGGTCACGTCGGATGGCTCGGGCTCGCTCAACTTGGAGGTTGTCCAGCCAGCGCAGTCTGCGTAAGACGAAACAAATAGGTTGGATCCAGTGGTCCCCAATGTAAAATGGTGGCTTCGTGGCATCTTTCCACTGTACCAAGAGGTACGACTAGTGGCCAGAACCATTGGAGATCCGTTCTTCTTGACTCCGTTGTGTCATCATATATATTCACATGATAAGAGTCATGGGTATTGTTGGAAACAATCAAAATCCATCATGCAAACATGTGAATGAAGCAAGAGACTTGGTAGGAAAGAAGTATCCAACTGATTGGGCCAAGACCATGTCCGCTGCTACTGCTGGGGCTTTAGCATCAAGAAGGTCCGAACCCCAACGGCCAAGCACTGTGTCAGTCCCGCAAGGAATGGCACCCGAATATCTGCAAATCCAGGCCTAAGGAGCTGGAGGGAAGCCATGTGAGAGCCAAAAGAAACCCGACAGGAAAAACTATAGAGAAAGGGCCGTGGCTGGGTCCTGATGTACTTGACTTTCCTGCCATTGCTGTAATTATAGTGATCAAGAATGACCTTGCTTCCTTTTCTTTTTCTTTGTTTCCAATAGCGATGGCCTCCAACCCAATAGGGATGGCCTGCCAGAATGATTCAAGCACATGGCATGTTCCATACATTGACTTAGCGTGTATGATTTCGCGTGGTCTAAAATATTGTCATGTGATGGCCTGAACGACCGCAACAACAACAACCACATGTGTAGAAGGGTTTGTAGAAATCAAAATGGATTGTATATCCATCTCGCACGCCCAAAGGCGCGAAACGCATCAAATTCATCTTTACGACTTTCCATTTTCCATTGGAGGATGTACAAAGGGTAGCTCCGTGGATGGTTTTGTCTTTTATTTATAGTACATATATATTTCGATTCAAATCGCATGTCACATACCGCATGCCTGGCTCCGGCGCATGTTCCCGGCGCAAGTGAAGACCCCAAGTTCGGACCGAACGACCGAGCTGGTGCGGTTTGATCTGGTTTGAGGGAGTGGTCGAGCCCTGAGCCCGCGGCACAGTCTCAGAGCCACAACACTAAGCAGAAAATACCAGGTCTTGATACCGGCCAAAGGCTTTCCCTGCACCTGGGAAGGGCACGTGACATCTATCAACATGGGTTTCTCTGTCCACCCAGAATCCATCGAAGATGCAAAGCTTCCCGGCAAATGCTTGAAGTTCGCATTGATGTCGGTATGGACCGCCTGAGGGGGGCTGAGGGGACTGTACCAACTGGGGTCGTGCTTGAGGGGACTCCATGGCCACGCCCCAAACAAATCGTGGTATGCATGAAATCATACACAAATGGTCTATTCTAGTACAGTATATGAGTGGTTACCCCAAAAAGGGTATGAGCCTTCAGTGAAACAATACAGTGAGATTCGCAACCATGTGCATTCTGAAGAAAACCCTAAAACCATGGTGTAGTCTTAGACGCTCCATATATTTGAATGAGAACCACGGGGCCCTGCGTCCGTGGGGTCTGCTCCATGCACCAAGCCACTCATCGACCGAAGGAATCCACGGAACCAATCCACCGAAGCAACCGGATGCTCAGCGATCAGGGAGCTGTCTGAATCGACCCGGACCCAAACGCGGAGCCTGGCTTCAGTAGGGGAGCGGTCTGGGGTGGAAGATAGTGGAAGGGCTATCAGGGGTGCTAACATGCACAGGAAGACAACATTGAAACCCTTCTGCACAGTGCAGTAAGCGGCATGTTCTACCAGATTAGATATCGACCATGATCCAAGAACATCATTCGAAAAGGCGTCCACCGGGCTTCAGGTCGAGATGCTACCATAGTTGGTCAGGACCACTCCGTGTACCTTCAACCTCTACATCACCACCGAACACAAGACGCTGTCACGGTGCAGCCTCGAAGTAGACGCAAAGCCTCAGCTTCGCAAAGAGGTTGCAAGTTGGATCCTTTCCCTACACCTGTATCAGCAGGTGAGTGAGTGGTTAATATCAGTAAGACAAGAGCTTCCCAAAAATACAACCCAACAAAAACATATCTGTGGGGAAGGTCGCAAGTGGATGGAGCGCCATTTTTTGCAGAAGCAACATGGCAACATGTTTGGTTTTGTACTGGAAGCTCAAAAACGGCAGCTTCATTTTGTTGGGTGCTGTATTTAGTGTTACACAAGTTGCATACAAACACCTATAGACATTTAACCTTTAGCCGCTGGCCTTCAAGGAAACAGTGCCTGCTAGCTGCTAAAGGGCTTACATTGTGCTTTGCGCCTGATTGTTCATATGAAGGAGTCTTCGAAAGTCGAATGTAATGTACACATATTACCATATTGCCTCTTTTGACGTCTCATTTGGATGTTTGAAGCTAGTTTGAAACAACGTGTGCTCACAGCAATTGTCCATTCAATCAAGCCTTTTACCCTCTTTTTGAAGGCTACTTGGGTCGTGCTGCCAGTAGTAGGCCTCACAATATACTATATTTGAGCTGGAGTTCCTATTATTGTCCTTTTGTGGGACGTACCACCACGATCAACCACAGCACGCCGATAAACAAAGCCAAACCCCGGAGAGAAAACAATTCTTGGATTGGACAGAAACAAGAAACAAAGAAGCAACCATCAGTATTCCTCGCTTGCAAACATGATGAGCTTTCTTCAAGAGTTCGGAAGGAAAGAGAACACAACGAGAACAGAAAGCACACTTGCACCCAAATCGATTCAACGGTATCCTGAAACAAGAACCCAATGTTCTCATGTTCAATCTGATTGTTCACCCAGCAGTTCGAACATGGTCGAACACATCCTCGATCTGCATCCAAGGTCTTGGCCCCTCATCCAAGCTAGCAAGCTTTGAAAGGTGAGGTCTCATAGCCTCAAACCAGGCTGAGGCTGAGCGCTGGAGACGCTGCTAGAACGGCGAAGACGGACCGCGTCACCGGCTGAGAGAGGATTGACCGATGGACCGCCGGTCACTGGTCAATAGATTAATTGAAAACATTGCCTTCGGTGTGTGTTTTGGGCTGCAAACATTGAAAAGGACTGTGCTAGATCAGCTGTGGAGTCCTAGCAGAATGCATGGAAGCAGAATGGAAAAAATGGCCATGTTCAGAATGTGTGTTCTTAAAGGCGCCCCAAGTCCATTTTTCTCACAACTTGGCTGACCAACCCAAAGGCCTTATTTAGTGCCCACACATCTACATGGAAATCTACACCGAGGTCCCAAAGGCCCCAAAGCCCAGCCCAAAACCAGGGACATCCTTCTGCAGTCCCCAAAAAGTTCCCAGCCACCTCAAATACTCTTCAAATAGGCTTGGGGGGCTCTTTGAATCTTGAACTCGATGTTATTGGATTGGACTTGTCACTTCTGAGGACCCGATTCTTAAATTGGTGCTGAGCTGCATGTTCAACTTAGCCTGACACACGTGTCAGGCGACCCTTGCGTCAACACTTGATACTGGAGACTGGGTGTGTTTCGCCAGAATGTCTTCTTGAGGAGGCAAGAGTCTTGATGGAGTTCTACAAGGATCTAGATGTTGCGCTTTTTGTTCTTCCAAAAGGCAAGTTCTTGAACCACACGTTTTGAATTCCAAATCAATGTGACCCAAGTACTAAGGTGTAGTCTACAGGATTGTTTAAACATATAACTTTATGAACCAGAGTGATTGGGTTCTTGCTCGGAGATGGCTACTTTGTTTAACACCTGCACAGATTCCCAAAGGTTGGGACCTGAAGCTACACACACGAAAGCAAACACACACACAAAAAAAAATAAACACATCGAAAACAACACAAGGCAACAAACACAACAAAAAAACAATGAAAGCAACACCAAGAAAAACAACAAGCAGCAAGCGGCCAACACGTATATGTAATCTGCTACTGATTCTAGGTGATGTGCTAGTTCATTCATGTTCATTCTCATCAATTCTTATCAATTCTTGGACGCTTCCTGCCCTTCCTTTCCGCTGCCCCAATCCCGGAAAATCCTCCTACCTCCCCACCTCCAAGAGTCTCTGGTCCGCCTCCAAAAAGTCCAAGCCCCTCCAGGCACCGTCCCCGTCCTCCCCGCACGGTCAGGAGGGATTATGAAGGATCGATGAGATAGGCTAGGATGGGCGACAAGGGCCTTTTGAGGGCTCCAATGGGCTCAATCACCTCACCTCGTGATTCATGATTGCCAGTATAGATTGAATATGTCAATGCTTAAGATCATCGGAACTATCCTGACAACTGACTGCTAGTTGATGAAGTGCCACAACCAAAGCCTGCAGAATGGCCAAAAGTGAAACTATCCATTATTCTACAGTACTGAGATCTTCAAACGGAGCATGAACAATGCTCCCTGCAGCCATCAGCCCAAGCTAAACCCTCCAGGACCCCAAGGTTGCAGGATGTTGCAGGTAACTCTTCTAGTGGCGCAAGGGGTGTCTGCCAGCGCACGCCCCTTGGAGGTTTTGGGTCCGGCCCAGTTCATAGACATGACAGCGGGCTCAAGATTCAGCCAGCATCATATTCCGCTTTCTTCTACTGTCGGACCCTGACCCTGGGAAATCAATTTTGCCACACAAACCCAAGAAGCCCAACTTTTCCTGTCACTCCCCATCTAAGGACTTACGTCCATAGATGTCCATAGAATAAGACGTCCCTGGTGGTCCCTGGTGGTCCTTCCAGGCCAACAAGCGAAGGCTGTAGCGCTGACTGGGATCACCGTCGCGACGCTTCCTGGCCCATGGAAGGATTGGATCTGATTCGGCTGGAATCTTAAAGTCTCTCAGAAAAAAAGGTAAACAACTGGTACAGTTACGTGCCATATACTGTAATATATATTATGCTGTAATATGGTTAAAAGTTATATTAAGCACCCGTGTTTTTTGTTGAAAGAGTCATGTCTGAAGTTCGACTTCGGAGGGTCCAGCTGGTTGTATTGAGGGCTTCTAACAGATCTTTTAGTTCTGCGCAAGAAGCATCAAACAGATGACAAAGACTCCAGTCCCATGAATCCACCACCCCTGAAAGTCTTTAAGATGCTCAAGCTACCTGTGGCATGTGCTTGTGTTTTCAAGCAGCGAAAAACCCGCATCAGCAACCTCCCCCACCGACCGGACGATCCCCCGGTCAGTCACAGCGCAAGTCCGCGGCGCACGCGGCGCACGCCGCCAGTTGGCGCACCCCCAAAGGTCGATGCGCTTGAAGATGTGCTGCGCCGTGGCCTCGATCGACCCAGGCAGAGAGTCGGACATCGATGAACAGAGAGAGACCGGTGGAGGTGGAGTGTTCTTTGGTGCCACACATCATCCTGTGCCGAACTCTGCAAGAGTGGGCTTCCTTGAACATCCAACACACAAGAAACCAAGTCATTCAAGTTTATCATAAATTCACAAAGGCACACCACCAACACTGCTTTGGGTCCAGAAACCGCTTGAACGGCCAAACTAGTCTCTTTGGACCGAGTTGGAAAAACGTTAAGACTTTGCCGCTTCTCGCTGGTTCCGAACAAATTAAAGGAACAGGATTGAATTCCACGTCCAAAAAAATCAACAAACCTGCTCTGGTGAGGGTGAGCTTCCAGCGTCGGCAGCATTCCGAAAACCCTTCTGTGACAGTCATTTTTGCTTCCCGTGTCCCCAAACCAACAGGTTTCTTGACTTCCTTTCTCCAGACTAATATCTTCTTAGGGGTAGTTGAAGTCTTGAGACACAAACGTCTAAGAACCTGGTCGACCTCTTCGGTGGCAAACACCAGCTACCAAAGCCCAAACCAAAAGTTTGAAAATGTTCACATAGTTTCACCCAACTCACCCAAACAACACAACAAATCCGGAGAATTGTCAATATGTATCACGTTCGACTCAGATCTGCCTGCATGGTGGTTCCATCCCACTTCTCCGTAATGTAGACGGGTGGATTTGGCTCCTCCCCTGAACAAACACGTTCCGCGCGCGTTCCAGGCGCACGTTGGACCAGTGAAGACAGCGAAGCCAACCAGGCAGTTCCAAAAAACAACAAATAAACACAGAAAACATAGACCTTCTACAACCTGGGTCCTTTTTACAGTGTACTAGGATGCACTGGACGTGACCAAGTACAGTATTTTTCCTCTTTGTGTGGAAAGTCATGAGACCTTTCAGGTGGTGCGTCTTGTCCACCAAAATGCGGTTTCTATTTGGATGTGTGTGTTTTTGTTGAACATGTTGACACAAAATGGTTTCCACATCCGGCGAGATATGACACGACACATCGACTCAGCACTACTCAACGATTTGTTTCGGATTGTTTCGGCAGTCTTGAAGTCTTGGCACGCAAGCCTGCGCCGAAGCCGCAATCTTTGCTGTTCAACCGCGGTGGGGGCCTGAGAGCGCTCCCGCGTCATTTGTCTCGGCTATGGATGGCAATGGATCCACCATTGGGTCCCCCCAAAAACCCCCGAAACCTACTGGTGAAAGCATGCGCGCAAGCAAACGCTCAGCAAAACCTGCGGGTATGGACTGGGTATGACTGGGTCAATTTTTTCCCCAAGCAGTGTGGACACACTAGGGGTTCTTACGGTAGGTGCTGATGCTTAGATCGCTGAAGCGCGCGGCCGTGACCGGCTAATTCGTTGCTATAGACAGTGCATTCATGCCTCTCGAAATCCTCGAAGCGCATTTCAACTGCGCACGCTCGCTGAATCTGGGTGTCCGCGGCGGGTGCTTCTGACGACTGCGCTCTCGTTGTGGTGCCGTGCGCATTTTCGCACATGGTGGTCACTTTTCGCGGCAGGCGCAAGGGAAACGTGTTTTGGTGCTTCAAAGTCGACTTGTCGTGACAGGTGCAAGGGATCGGAGCTGTTTTACTTCAAAGTGCAGTTTCGTGGCAGGCGCAGTACTTTGGGCATGGTGGTGATCGTCGAGGAGCTTAGATTTCGTGACAGGTGCAGTGAATCATGACTTTCGGGCATGTGGCTCGTTTGCAGATTTCGTGGCAGGCACAGCACTCTGTGACCCTCGAAGTGCAGATTTCAGGTGCAGCACTTCGTGAACCTCGAAGTGCAGATTTCGTGGCAGGTACAGCACTTGGTGAACCTCGAAGTGCAGATTTCGTGGCAGGCACAGCACTTTCTGAACCCTGAAGTGCAGATTTCGTGGCAGGCACAGCACGTGGTGACTTGGTGAACCTCGAAGTGCAGATTTCGTGGCAGGCGCAGCACTTTCTGAACCTCGAAGTGCAGATTTCGTGGTATAGGCATGGTGAACCTCGAAGTGCAGATTCGTGGCAGGCGCAGTACTTTGTGCTCTCAGAACACACTCTCATTCTCATCCAAACTACTCCCACTCACACTCACTGTCACACTTGCACTCCCTCACACTCACTCACACCCACATTCACACTCCTCACACTCACACCCACTCACTCTCCCCGCGACTCTCACTCGCTCTCACCCACACTCGCACTCACACTCGTGCGCACGCACACTCACTCATCCACACTCATTCTCACCCACACTCACTCTCACTCCCACTCACACTCACTCACTCTCCCCGACCACCCTTCGCACGTGAAAAGCACGACCGTCTGTCTTTCGCCACCTACGACGCACAAACGGCAGGCGCGACTGTAAATTGCCAGCCAGGCCTTTGATGACCTAAGGGAGCGTGTTTATAAATAGAAATTGTCCCGGCAAGGGTGTCCCTTCCTGCTCAGAATTTTGTGCCCCTGGCCCAGAGCGAGTGTCATGCAAGAATCAGCACCCCTGCAGATTAACGGCCATACGACATTGCCCAACACGACGCCGCATGCCACAGGCAAAGGGCGGGGAAAGGCACCAGGCGTGCCAGGATGGGCAAGAAACATAAACCCAGCACGACGCTGCATACCACAGGCAAAGGGCGGGGAAAGGCACCAGGCGTGCCAGGGACAGGCGAGAAACATAAAGAGCAAAGAAAGGGGAGAAAACAACCAAAGCACCAGAAAGAAATCATAAAGGACAGGAAGAGAATGGTGAAGGAAAGAAAAATATGAGCCAAAACAACAATGGACCAGGGGGGATTCGAACCACCCAATTTGGACCCATGCCGAGGGCAAGAGGTTCCTGGTGCCTGCAACGCCTTAACCATTAGGCCACTGGCCCACTGTCTCTGTGCTTTTGGATTTCCCGTCCTGCATTTTGTGCATGAGTTTTCAAGGGCCACATTGGGGCTTAAGGTTTGTGTGTGTACTCCATGTTTGGTGTCAGGGGCCTTGCTTTCACCGAGTTTTTTGCTTTATTTATGCAGGGACGGCTGGAGCTTACACGTTTGTTTAAGTTGTTTTTTGTCTACTCACTACTCCGCGTTTGATGCCACAGGGGCGTTTGCTGTCGCAGGGGCCAAATGTTTGCAGAGTTTTTGCGTGTTGTTTTCCTTGGGCAATGTTTGCAAGTTTGTATAAACTGTTCATGAACGTTTTTCGACACTGATCATGTGAGTGTGCAGTGAGAACACATCATGCATGCACACATATGCGTATATGTAGTGTAAACTACACATATGTAACTATGTCGTGAAAGTTCACAAAAACAAGAAAAACACAGCAATCACACTTGCAAAATCAGATGGACACCCTTTTTTGACATGGCCAGATTTGACCGTTTTGGCTTCAAATTGCGGCAGCATTGGGAAGCCATCTTTTGGTAGCCAGCATCTCACGGAATCTGGTGATGTCGGATGCGCCCACAAATTCGATGATGCCGATGGAATTCTGTATGGTCAGAATGGAGTCCCGAAACATTGCCCACAGCATACGCTGCTCCGGTGGCAATTGATCATGATGCTCCAACGAATCCATAGCTTCGTCCAATGCAAAAAGCAACTCTCCCAGCTGGACATGATCACGGTGCAGCATCCCCAATTGTTGGAACAAGCGTGTAAGATCAACGTCCATGCGAGGCATCCAAAATCAGAACCGGGTCTCCATGGCCCAGGTGGCCGAGCAAGGTGCGCAGGCACAGAGGTGCACAGAAGGTGTGGAAGAATGACGTGGTGGTTCACACCAGCGGTGGACGTTGTTTGTAACTTCGAACCTTTATGTGCACCTTCTAGCTGCTTCAGCTCTGGATCTCAATATCTCGAGGTAAATCGAATGCAAATCAATTGCACCAAATCACGTGCGAATTCTCTGAAAAACTCAAAGGGCAGTCAATGCATCCTTATTTGCAAGTTCAGAATCCGCTCCATAATGCAATGTCAGCATTGACCCTATACACACAAAGCCGGGCAATGACCAGGAAAAGCCGGGCAACGACCAGGAAACGGGAGGCAACGACCAGGAAACGCCACCAACGAACAGGATACGCCACCAAAACCACATCACCCAGCACGACGCCGCATACCACAGGCCAAGGGAGGCCAGGGCTCACACTCACTCACCCACCTTCAGTCTCACTCTCACTCACACATAC